GACTCGAGAATCAAAAGCCTCTCTGATTGCCGAGAGGTAACAGAATTCTTCGGCCAGGTAACAGAATTCTTCGACCAATAAATTTATTTCCGCGAGTGATAAAGGATCAGGTACGACATGAACGGTGCGTTTCTGCCTCCTTCCTTCTTGAAATATGACCGCGACAATTTTCATGGTACCTTAAAATACGCCGCCGCTGTTTAACTGGTAGCAAATGACATGACAAAAGCCCATAGTCTGTGCCATTGCTACATTTTAACAAAACTTGAAATTCAGCCAGATCGCGCATTGCTATCGGGAAATTTCGAGCGCAAACTATAATGCTTCCACATGACGTTCACAAGCATCTGTCCTGTCTCTCTCGTTCTTGTTAACGTCTTGTTTGGCGCTCACAACTTTCCCAATCGCCACAATTATTCAAGAAAAAACTGAAGTGGCATCTGATGGCACAAGCAGTTCAACGCAATAGAAAAACAGAACGGGTGCTCTATTGCTCGCGAATCGTGCTACTTTCTCGTCCTTGAAGCCACATTAATAATAAAACCGGAGCTTAGCACTCATACTCCGTTGATTAGGTACATAATCATAGATCAAGCTCAGTGTGGATTCCGATGTCACGTAATAAATGTGACCTGCAGTGCCACATGTGTCACAACATGCTGCACAACCCAATTCCATGCCTTCGTACCGTCATGCTCGTTTAATACGAACGTTTGTAGATTGGACTACAGAAACAACATTCAAGACCGAGAATTATTTAATTCTTCCGTTCATTAGTAACGCACTTCTTTATGCATTCTTCTGTTCTCTGGGAGCAGGTCACGTGAGTTTTGTAGCATGAATTAACATAAATTGCTGTTTCTATTTTACCACAGTCACCGAACGGTGTACAATATGAAGACATCACCTGCATTAAACTTCCTGTCAGCACAATGTATACAATGCTCAATTACATCGCAAAAAAATACACGTGTTTCATGCGAAGAATTTCCTAATGCTTCGTTAGATATTCAACCATTAAAATTAAAAATAGCACCACCGTGAACGGAATTAACTCCATGACCAAATTTCAGTGCAAAAAGCGCTTGAATAACTGCACCTTGCAGGTATGCAATATACATTGCATGAGGTTTTAGATGTATGGTGACTTCATTAGTTCAGGTTACATTGTTTTTGTAGAATGAGCTTTTTAGTCACGTTTACTATGCTTTTTAATGTTAATATTTCACCTCATCAGTCATTTAGCGATGGTCATTTCATTTCCACATCCTTAAATGAGAGTTATGAATAGGTAATATTCAAGCATTTTTTGAAGATATATGACTGGTTTTTATCAAATGACCAACCCTAGAACGAGTTCCGGGGAGGGGGGAGATAGTAACAGTCTTATAATTCGAAAAATAAAATTCTCGGCTATACAAGCCGGAACGTCAAGAGGTTTTAAATATTCGGAACACTAGGTCGGCAAAATAAATGGAGCCCACATAGACCCACTCAGTAAATGTGCTTTTATCTTAGGACTCGATATAGGGCCCATCCTATAGCCGGAATTTCGGTCACATATAAAAATATTTTTCTCTGCAAAACATTTTCGCAATAGACTGTTTTCAATAGAGTAAATCAGCGCGACATTTTTCGAATACACCTGAGATAATGGAATAACCGATCAAACTTTACGTGAATACCCATCACTTTTCGTCTCCACTGTCTCTTTCCAAGTCGGTGTTCTTCCTTTCTTGACATTCAACTTCACAGTATTTTAACAAATCCGCATCATATTGGTTCTATAGAAGAAAATAGCTTGTGGTATACGCATCTCAAATCAAACTTGGGCATGCACTTACGCCCCATCTCACTGTTTTGTGTCGATCATTTCAGCGTTCTCATTTCACTTAAGGCATTGTCACGTGGTTGCGACGGCAAAAAATATGGTACGTGGGTTGCTCAAGAAGACACTTTTTATTGAGTGAACATGTGCATAGGAAAGTGCAAAGTACTAGAAATTCGTGCTTTACACAGATAGCGGTAATTAGAGCATTGGTCGTCGGTAAAATGATCTGCGCGAAGGTACGTCGCCATTTATACGGTTAGCATTCATATCGTAGGTGTCTCAAGCTTATCAGAAGATTCTAAAATAATGTAGAGTTTTTGCAGACAGCCAAGCGTCCTTTGCGAAAGGCAACTGATTAATATGTGGTGTTTAACGTTTCAAAACCACCACAAGATTATGAGAGAAGCCGTAGTGGAGGACTCCAGAAATTTTGACAACGTCGGGTTCTTCAACATGCACCCAAATCGCAGCACATGGACTTACAGCATTTTCGCCTCTATCGAAAATAAAGCAGCCGCAGGTGGGACTTGATCCCGCGACCTGCGGGTCAGCAGCCGAGTACCTTAGCTACTGAACCACTACGGCAGTGCCTTTGCGCAAGACAGTGACATAAAAATACAACTGAGCGTGGCAGTATAATAATGTTGCGATAAAGTTTCAGCAGATACAACATGTTTCACTGTGGATGCCATTTTCATACAGAACCGTCAGCGGGTGGCCCCGCGTTGCAAGGTGGATCGACGTCTTTGGGTATTTTGAGTAGGATAAATTTCTACCTAAAACATACGGCGTGACGACAGCACTCACGTTGACTGTAAATATTAATGAAACGAAGTGCACGCTTCGGCGGGATGATATGCATATCATTAAGAAGCTGTTGTGTATTTCTCAAAGGTCGAGATCCTTAATGGTCGAGTGACCCTTCCCTATCACGTGCTGGGTGAAAGGAATATATCCATGTAATGTTTACAATCAGCCTATAGACCGCAACAACTGATGGTGTCGGCCGACATCACTCCTGTAAGTCTATTTAGGGACGTATCCGTTACAGTAAAAAGTAACTAAATACCTCACTCGTTACTCAAATAAGAAAAAGGGGAACGTTTCACGGCTCCACGTTATATAGATACATAAAAAAGGTAACGCACTACCGTTACCGTAACCGAAAAAAAAACAGAACGAATGTTACCTCTGCAGTAGCTCCGGAGTCATCAGTTTTAATCAATGTGTCTTTGCTGCAGAAACCCACAATAATAATTTTAAATCTCAAATTTATGTTTCACACATACTAACCCAAGCAAGGATTATACTCAAAATGTTCAATTAACGAGAATTATTTGTACAAATGTACTGAACCTTAGCAATGTCATATAGAAGCTTAATGATGCCTGCACATGTGATGGCTTTTGACTCTGCAGTGACACAAGATGAAAGCTTTTTTTTTCAATGGAGCATTATACACAAATTGAGGTCCAATATTCCACGGTATTCATGAAGAAAATATCACTGAACTCTCAAGAAATTTACAAATATCGGCCTTTTCTTGATCCTTCAGCACCTCCAATAAAGCAAGTCGAAATCGCCACTGTTGGACCTAGCCACCGTAATGGCCCACCGCGCGCCAGTAGGCAATCACGGATGCCTACATTGGTGCCTTTTTATTATAGAGGGGGGGGGGGGGGGTCGGGAGATGTCGTGGGGAAAAGGGGGGACACTTACAAGTTTGTGACACCAGATGTGCCTTGCAGAGACGTAAGTCTAGAAAAATCACGTCTTGCAACACACATCTTGCAATAGCAGAATTTTTTTTAATATGTTGCAGGTTTTAATTTTGTTTATATAAGAATTCAAATCATGCCTAGAAATCAAATATACAAAAGAACAAAGGTTCCCAGCACTCGTAGTTGCATTGTTCTGTTGTGTCTTTTCCGGAACAAGTCGAGAGTGGCAGTTGCTATTTCGATTTCTCACACATCTGATGGGTATTGAGCACGTGAACACGCGACAAAAAAGCATTGAACAGTTGAATGTTTTATGCATACTTATCAAGCATTCTTATTTGTGACGTTTTTATGAGAAATTTTAATGGGGCCCACTTGCAAGGGGTGTTCCCTTCCCCTGACCAAACACCAAGGGGTCGGGGAGTCAACGTTTTCTGCAGGCGTGGTCAACGGACGCCCAGCTCGTGACCAGTATGGGCTGTGTATCTGAGCAAATATTGCATTTGCTCTCATCTGCACATATGACCATCGACAGGTTTTTGTCTTGGGGGGGATGCAAACCCTTCTTTCAACTTGCATCACGACTGAGGAAGTAGGTCGTGTTGGAGTCGCTAGAGTGGGTAGCAAGTGCTGGTGGAGCTTGAAGGGTTCAAGTGTCCTTTTTGCACCACCCGCCTCGCCCACGCCTATGTCTACACTTCATTCATTGAACACTGCGCTGAGAACTAGTTGAATAAATGCGCAGATTTGTTTCCTTCCACATCCTATACCGCTGCATAAAAGATTCTCACATTGTGAAAAGTGGGTATTTTGATTCGTTTGAAGGAAAGTTACATTCAAAGCATGACAGATACTCAAAAAAGCGGTTTCATGCAATCGTAATAAGAAAACTCGAAGCAGAGGTGCTTCTTCTTTTGTGCAGCGTACAATGTAAGAGTAAGATCAGATCCGGAAAAAGCGAAATGAGTGACGTGCGTCACTGCTTGCTCATTGTCCAATGAAAGAAGGTTTCATGAAGTATGACGTTGCCAACAACAACAAACTGATGCATCTTAAATTAAAAAAAAGCAAAGTGCTGCACATTTACCATAGAACATGGACATAGATTGAAATACGCGTTATTTTTTCATGAAATTGAAATAAAAACTATTTTACAAAACGCTTTGAATTCATCGGGATGTCGACACATCTGTGTAGTGTCATTTATGCTATTTGGATTAAAATTCCTGAATTTCAACTAATTCAGTAACCTGTGGCAGAAGAGCCTTTTGAATTTTCAGTTTCGGTTTCCGCGCCGCCGGCGCCGCCGCCGCCGACAAAAATTGGCCGCGCGCCGCCGCCGATGAAAAAACCGGCGTGCGCCGACAACGCCGCCGCCGCCGACTCTGGACGACCGCCACGCCGCCGCCGGTCGAAATCGCCTCGGCGCACACCTCTAGGAACCCTGCCCATCACACCGTGCTGCCCATCGAAAATTGCGGCAAACTCGCATTTGTTGCTAGAGCACTTGGCTAGAGTTGAGCGCGAGCGCAATACGGTGAAAGGAATATTGCGTTTGTTTGCTGGTTGTATGGAACCAGTGAACACAGCGTAACTTGGATGAACAAAGAATTCTGCTAGCGCTGCGTCACAGAACACCTATGCTGCGTGATGTGGCGGTATAGCGGCGGCAGCCCGATCACCATCACCATCATCAACAGGTAGTTTGAATTGGTGAGCTTGGTCGCTCGTGCACGGGGCGCGCGCTAAGCGTGAGTATTTTCAGTATTTTAATGTTACCGTCGTCGAGCATGTGGCGTCATGGCTGGCCGCAGCTTTCACAGCCAATTTAGGCCCGTGCTAGGCCAAGGCTCCGGTAAGACACTACTGATGGCGCGTGTATTATTATTAATCCTGCATCTTTCCTCTCTCGTCAGGACAACGATGGCCACCGCCGCTTGTAAGTAGATGCATCTCGTACACTAAACGGGCGAGCTGCTGTGCGCCTCAAAAAATAAACACACAGAAGAACGGAGCTGCCTATTCAGTTCTGTTTATAGGTTTTTAGGGCTAATTCAACGCTGTGATACGCAGTCCTAGAATTGCGTACGGCAGATGTAGCGTTCAGTTGCGTGCGCGAATAGCGGCCTCAAAATGCTTCGCGGGTGTTAGCGTTAAGGCACGCGTGAGCGAAGAATTTTCTTATGGGGTTACGCATTTACCGATTGCGTTTTGCCTGGACGGCCTTTAGAGAAGAGGCGTTGTTCCTGCCTAGCCTATGCATGTATTTCCCTGTTGCCTCTACGAGCCAAGAAATCGGCCATCAAATTTGAGAACAGTGACAAGAAAAAGAAAAAATGCTGGCTGGTAAGCTCCAGCGGTCCTACCCGCATAATGCTTGCTGCAAATTTTTCGTAGGGCTGTTTTGTCAATGCTGCGCGTCAAAGGTAAACACGACAATTGAAAGATACGCCTGCATCAGTGAGGCAGATTATTGGGATTTGGAGCCGTTGCGACCGTCGTCTGTTGCATGAACATTGATATGACGCAGCGATTTAATTCCTGCCCAGTTCACTAGTGGTGTAAATACGGAAAAATTCCCAAAGGGGGGCAGACTTCTTATCGTGGCGACAATGTTTGTTTTACTTTCACTAACATAAAAGTTATAATACCGTGAAATCGAGTTATAAAAAAAAAAGCATTGGCTCCCAACTAGTGTAGTTTTCTCTGAAACCTATCGACTGAAAGTTGGAATCCCAGTAGTCTCACAGAGCTGAGTGAGTTTATTTTAAGTTCTTTTTTAACAATGGGACATGCTAATAGAAAAACAGGCTTTAAACGTGTTCATTGTGCTATACTTAACTGTCAGTTTATCCCAAATATGATTAAGATAGATTTACTAGCACAAAACTGCAACATACGTAACATAGACACAGTGTTTTCTGTGCTGGTAAATACATCTTAATCATGAACAAACTCTCCAAGCAGCAACTCGCCAATAAGCCTGACTACGTCCACTCTAGGACAAAGGCCTCTCCCATGTTCTGCCAGTCAATACGGTCCCGTGCTTGCTGCTGCCACTTTATACCCGCTAAATTGTTAACCTCATCAGCCCACCTAACTTTCTGTCTCCTCCTAACCCGCTTGCCTTCTCTGGGAATCTAGTCAGTTACCCTTAATGATCAGCGGTTATCCTACCTACGCGCTACATGCCCAGCCAATGTCCGTTTCCTCTTCTTTATTTCAACTATGATATCCTTAACCCTGGCTTGTTCCTTAACTCACTCTGCTCCCTTCTTGTCTCCGAAGGTTACACCTATCATTTTTCTTTCCATTACTCGCTGTGTCGTTCACAATTTAAGCTGAACCCTCTTTGTAAGCCTCCTGGTTTCTGCTTCGTAGCCCCGCCGCGGTGGTCTAGTGGCTAAGGTACTCGGCTGCTGACCCGCAGGTCGCGGGTTCGAATCCCGGCTGCGGCGGCTGCATTTCCGATGGAGGCGGAAATGTTGTAGGCCCGTGTGCTCAGATTTGTGTGCACGTTAAAGAACCCCAGGTGGTCGAAACTTCCGGAGCCCTCCACTACGGCGTCTCTCATAATCATATGGTGGTTTTGGGACGTGAAACCCCACATATCAATTAATCAATCAATCAGGTTTCTGCTTCGTAGGTAAGTGCCGGCAAAATACAGCTACTATATACCTTCATCTTGAGGGATAGTTGCAATCTGCCTGTCATAGTTTGAGAGTGCTTGCCAAATGTGCTTCACACCATTCTTGTTCTAGTTACTTCAATCTCGTGGTTCGGCTCCACGGTTATTACGTGTCCTAAGTAGACAAAGTCGTTTACAAATTCAAGTGCACTATTACCTATCTCGAAGTGCTGTTCTCTTCCGAGGTTGTTGTACATTACTTTCGTTTTATGCAGATAAATTTTAAGACCTACTTTCCTGCCCTCCTTGTCTAACTCCGTAATCGTGAGTTGCAATTCGTCCAGTGAGTTACTCAGCAATGTAGTGTCATCGGCGAAGCTCAGGTTACTAAAGTACTCTCCATTAGCTCTTATCCCTAACTCTTCCCACTCTAGGCCTTTGAAAACCTCCTGTAAGCAAGTGGTAAATAGCATTGGCAAGATTGTATCCATATTTGCAGGATGTTTCAGCGCGCGAACAAAGGAAAAAGGACAGGGTAGACAGAAAGAGCGCTGACTTCCAACTAACTTTATTTCACAGAGTGGCAAGAATATATACTGCTAAAAAAGGATGATAACAGAGCATGAAGGTAAAATGCACCCTAATCTACACATCAGTAACAAAACACGTGTGACAGGTCCTCTATTGCCTCAAAGCCGAGCTAGGTAATCACGTTCAGCCTGTGATAAAGCAATCGATGATGTGCTTACACATTTTTCTCCTAGCAAGTGTATTTTTTCGGCTTCAATAATTTCTCGGGTAAGCTGATCCCTGTGCCTTGCCAATATGGAGCACTGATCAAAGAGAGGTGTGCATCCACAATCTCGGCAATGAATGCCAAGATGCCCTTGTACCACATTGTGCACATTGTTTCGGTGTTCTCGGAGGCGGTCATTTATGCACCTGCCGGTTTGCCCGACATAGATGCACCCACACGTCAGTGGAATCAAGTAAACGACTCCCACTGTGCATGGGACGTAGCGTGTCCTGTGCGCGACAGAGCACGAGGCAGAATTTGCACGAGGTGCATTGACCCGTTTGCAAAGCCTCTGCAATTTTTCCGGGGCAGAAAAAACCACAAAAACGTTGGCGTCTCGAGCAATCTTTTTTAGCCTGTGTGATACGTCGTGCACGTAAGGCAGTACGACAGGCCGGCTCTTTTTGCCACTGTTTCGCTTATCCGGTTTGTCGCCTCGCTTCAAGACAGTGACCAGCTTTTCCGCCACCGAAACGAGAACATGCGCGGGGTAACCAGCTTTGGTAAGCCGCTCTACTTGTAGAGCAAAGCTGTGGTGTACCATGTGGGGGCATGACTTCTTTAAGGCATTGACAAGGCAGAGGTTAGCGATGCCCCGCTTGACCAATTTAGAGTGAGCTGAGCTGAAAGGCAGAAGAGGCTTGCCGCTCCTTGGCTCATACATCCAGCAAACATGTCGGGAGTCTAACAAAAGCTTCAAATCTAGAAACTTCAGGTTGTTATTAGTGGGTGATTCATGGGTTAGAACTAGTGGTTTCAGGCACTCCCGGAAAACAGTCAACACGTCAGAGGAAACGTTCTGAAAGTTTTGACTATCGCATTTCAACAACACTAAGTAATCATCAACAAAACGGCAAACTTTAAAAACTACAGAGTCGTCAAGCTTGTTTGACAAGACACGATCATGATGTGCTAGAAATATGTCACTAAGAATGGGTGCCAAACATGAACCAATACATATTCCACTTTTTTGCAAGTAGTTTTTGTCCTCCCATGATACAAAGGTGGCCTTCAAATAAAAACCGAGTAATTCTAATAAGCTGCTGTTGTGAATTCCAGTACGCGTTTGAAACGCTGATGATCCTAACCTGTCTATGGATTCCTCTACACATTTTAGTAGTTGGTCATGCGGCAAAGAGTAATACAAGTCCTTAATATCTACAGACATTGCCTGGAGTCCTGTGTTAGTTCGTCCAATAATGTCAATAACAGCGTCAGAGTTCTTGACCAAAAAAGGATCGTCTATTGTTATGTGTTTTAGCTTTTCCTGCAAGAAAAGTGCTACAGACTTTTGCCAGGTCCCCCTTTCTGTTACAATGACCCGCAATGGGCAGTCAATTTTGTGAGTTTTCGCAGAAAAGAACAGGTCAAGGCTAAGCTTTTTGCAACTATCTATCGCCTTCGAAAGCTTCTGAAACCCCAGGGCCCCGGTAAGAGTTTTTGCACGCTTCTTAAGCTTATCCAGACCAATCTCATCATTCTCGTTGAAAAGAGACTGCATTGCATGCATAGCTTTCACTTTAAACATTGAACGAGGAAGAACCGCAAAACCACCCTCCTTGTCAGCCGGCAGAAGTGACAAGGAATGTGCTTTTAGGTACGCGACAGTGCTTCCTGTATTGACAAATTTGTTCGAAGGCTTACTTCTCGAGAGCACCTGCACGCCTTGGGCAACACATCTATCACATTCAGAGTCAGGAGCACGACGGGCAACTTGCCTGACCAGAGTGAGGAGCTCGTGCGGTGTTCTTGAAGGTGCCACCGCGTACATTGGTCCGAGGCATAGGGTGTGCTTAACGTTGTCGGGAAGAAAAGCATCCCCGAGGACATGCACACAGTCTTTAGCAGCTGGAGACTTCCTTGGTGTGATGGCCCGCAGGTATCTGAGCGACTGACGCCACATGAACTCGACGTTTCGGTCTACGAGGCTTGAGAGGCTTTGTCCTCGGGGATGCTTTTCTTCCCGACAACGTTAAGCACACCCTATGCCTCGGACCAAAGTACGCGGTGGCACCTTCAAGAACACCGCACGAGCTCCTCACTCTGGTCAGGCAAGTTGCCCGTCGTGCTCCTGACTCTGAATGTGATAGATGTGTTGCCCAAGGCGTGCAGGTGCTCTCGAGAAGTAAGCCTTCGAACAAATTTGTCAATACAGGAAGCACTGTCGCGTACCTAAAAGCACATTCCTTGTCACTTCTGCCGGCTGACAAGGAGGGTGGTTTTGCGGTTCTTCCTCGTTCAATGTTTAAAGTGAAAGCTATGCATGCAATGCAGTC